AGACTCCTTTCATCTTCCTAATTTGTATAGAAGAGGCCACGTTTGAATTTTGAAACCCGAGGCCCAGAGAACTTAAGCAACTTGGCTGAGGCTACCCAGCCGGTAAGTGGCAGAGCTGGGACCGAGCGCCAGGCGATCTATAGCCGTGCTTTTTACCATTGTACCATATGGTTCTAATTGAACGAACTCTTGGCCACAGTACCAGTGTATTCAGTGGAGGAGTGGTAAAAATAGAACTCTTTATTACTGGAAACATAATAAACTCTCCTGGGGGAAAGCTTTCTCAGAGAATTGGGTGGTAAAATTTAAGCTGCAGCAGCACGAGAGGCCCCCTGCCCCTGTGGTGCTGGATATGCAAGGAGGAGAGGGCTTTTCCCTGCTGATGGAGAGAGAGTTGGGTCCTGGAGATTGGCAGACAGGGAGCATGAGGCCTTCAGGTAGCAGCAGAGGGCACAGAGGCCAGCACCTCTGTGGCTGGGGATAGATCGGATGTCCAAATGCAGTGCGGGCCCCCTCTCTAGAGTTCTGTGATAATGGGAGGAATTCATAATGCTGGCAGGTGAGCCCTCCAGTCCAGAAACCAGAGCAGCACGTCCCCTTCATGTCCATGGACCACTTCTGTATTGCAGTATATGAAAGGAACAGGACAAGTGCAAGCCAGGTGTCAAGGTTAAGGAACATTGCTAAGCTGATCCCGCCCCATGACCGGGATCAAGAAGGGAAATGTAACCGGCACCCAGAAGTGCTTCTTTTTGCCTCTTCCTGCTGCCATCCCTCCGCGGGGACGCTGCCACCCCGACTTCTAATGTCTTTGCTTCATTTTGCCTGATTGCGATCTTTTGTTTTCCCCATGATTCTAAATTGCTTTATGGAGTTAAAAATTTTACAAACTGAGGAACTGTGTGTGAGAGAAGAGAAAGGTGTCTTGTATGAAGTTTCAGCTGCATGTTTTAGTAAAGACAAGATACAGAGAGTTGGTAAAAACAAAACAAAATAAAAAAACCCTGCTGTCAAAGTATGTGTAGATGGGGCAAACAAAAAAGATGGTGAGAAAGAATAAAAATCTCAAGGGATACTACACACGAAAATTGCTTTGCAAGTATCTTTAGACTTTTGTTTGGCTTTTAGGAATCCCAAATTGGAAATCACAGAAAATGCATTTCTTAGATCATCAAAGAGTAGATCCCCATTTAAAAAAATAAAATAAGGCCTAAGCCTCACAACAAATTATTGGTAGGTAGAGGTACGTTTTTAAGTTTTAATGTAAAATGCTAATGTGTGTATCATTTTAAATGATTCCTCACTTTTTTTTTTAAGTAGACACCCCGTCCAGCATGAAGCCCAACACGGGGCCTGAACTGATGACCCCAGCTGAGTTCAAGAGTTGGCCACTCAACCAGTCAGTCACCTGGGCTCCCCAAATGATTCCTCCCTTTAAGAGACTCTTTTCCCCCTCCAGCTTTATTGAGATACAACCGCATATACCGTTGTGTGTGTTTAAGGTGTAGAAAGTGATGATTGGAAACACGTACTTATTGTGAAATGATTATCACAGTAAAATTAGTTAACACACCTGTCGCCCCACATAAGCACCATTTTGTTGTTGTTAGGGTGAGAACATTTGATATCTATGCTCATGAAAGACTCAAGTATCTAATACAGATTCGTTGACCGTAGTCACCATGCTGGACATCGGATCCCCAGAACTTACTCCTCTTGTAACTGGAAGGTTGTATCTTTTGACCAATACCTACTCATTTCCCTCACCCTCCTGCCCCTGGCAACCACCATTCTACTGTGTTTCTTTGAGTTTGACTTTTTTAGATTCCACATACAAGCAAGAAGATGCAGTATTCGTCTTCCTCTTTCTGACTTAATCTCACTTATCGTCATGCCTTGAGGGTTCCTCAGTGTTTTTGAAGATGGCAGGATTTCCTTTTTTATGGCTGAATACTATTCCATGGTCTGTGTATTCCACACTTTCTTTATCCATGCATCCGTCAATGGACAGTCAGTTTGTTCCCATGTCTCGACTCCCGTGAATAAGGCTGCAAGGGACACAGGCATGTAGATATCTTTTCAGGACTGTGGTTCCATTTCCTTTGCATATGTACTCAGAAGTTGGATTGCTGGAATCATACTGATTTTATCTTTATATAAGTGGAACTATTCTTGCATTTTCTTTCCTGTCTTTCTTCTTTTGTACAATTTTATGTCCATGCAATTCATAGTGATAGGGGGTAGAATGTGGGTTCATTCCCTCTTGTTGTGGCTTAGTGTTCCACTGAGTAAATATACCACAGCCTTTCCATCCATTCCCTTGTTGATGGGCACTGGGGCATAGTTTCCAGCTGGGGCCCCGTCGTCCCCTTTTGAAGACTCATAGAAAGACGCAGGAAGAGGGGAGGGTTGAGAACCATTTACTGGTGGAACTAGAGGGAAATTCTTATGGTTATTGCCTCAGGACTCACAACAGGATTCTCAGAAATATTTGGGGAAGAGGAAAGCGCAAACAGGATCCTGGAGTCCTGAGATGAGGGGTTGACTGTAATTGTGCCTTCCTTTATAGTCGCCCTCTGCAGAAGCCTACTATGTGTGGCTTATTAGGACTGGAAACAATGAAACGCCTAACCTGGCACCAAGCAGGCACCCAGTGAGTAGAAGCTGTGGATATTGTTCTGTGCACACTGAATGGCCTTCGTTAACTTTATGAATCAATATTTTTGTGCAATAGAAATGGGATATGGTAATGAGCAGGTGAAAATTACGTGAAACTTAGGCCAAGTAGGTACTAATTTCATCTGTACTGGAGGCCCCAGAGGCCTATCGAAGATGGAGAGGGCTTTGGGCACATAAGACAGCCCTTTATTTTAGCACACAGAGGCCTAGAGAGTTTTGTGACTTGCCTCTGAGAGGCTCTCAGTGATTGTTTTGGCTTAAAAAGTCAGAGCCAGGAGCCCTGGTCAAAGTGAAAGCAACACACCTCACCCCAAGATGCAGGGCTGAGGGGTAGGGGGATTCATGGGTTCGTGGAGTCAGTTTGTTGAAGGTTGGGTGGCAGATGTCCTCAGGATCATCTGGAGTCAAGGTCTGGGATGTTCCCGGACTCTCCTCTTGTGTCTCAGTAGGGTTTTGTCCTCTCAGAAGGCTTTCATCACAAAGCTGTAAGGAGGGCTGTGGGTGGCTCCTGGCCACTAAGCCTCACTAATAGAGGGGCCTATCTCTCTTCTTCAATCACTAAAATTAGGGAAAGACTCTGATTGGTCTGGTTGTGCCTTACTTTTCCCTTGTGGCTTGGGGAGTGATGGCAGCCTCCTTTAGAACTATGTTTTTTTGGGGGGTGGGGAAGGAACAGTTTCCCCAAAGAAGAGGAGTAGTATTTCCAGGAGAAAGGGGTACCAGGCAGGAAAAAAACTAGGTACTCACTATTTCAGCCAAGATACTTTGATTGCACATAACAAATCCTAGCCTGAACTAATTTAAACAGCAAAGGCAATTTATAGGCTCACGTTACTTAAAGCGTTCAAGGTAGATCCTAGCTTCAGGAGCATTTTGATCAAGTTCAAGTTCCTTTTCTCTGTGATTTCCTTTTGTTGGATGTTTCCTGCTGTGTGTGTTGATTTCATTCTTAGGCTAGCTTCTATGATAAGAAAGATTATTCATGTTGTCAGCTGAGGTTCTGAGATTCATTCTGATTGGACTGGGTTAGGTCACAAACTTAGCCTTGACCGACTTTATTGTACTCAGATGATGGAGTACACTCATTGGCTTTTCTGAGTCAGTTGGCCCACCTATGGAGCTATGGTAGAATTGGCTTCCATAGCAGGGAAAAACGTGGGTGCTTGGCTGGAGGAGCGACCAACAGGGACCCGCTTTCTCACCGAAAAAATGAAGAGAGGTTAAAAGACATCACCCCAAGGGGTGCCTGGGTGGCTCAGTGGGTTAAAGCCTCTGCCTTCGGCTCAGGTCATGATCCCAGGGTCCTGGGATCGAGCCCCGCATCTCTGCTTGGCAGGGAGCCTGCTTCCTCCTCTCTGCCTACTTGTGATCTCTGTCAAATAAATGAATAAAATCTTAAAAAAAAAAAAAGACATAACCCCGAACCATACACCTAGTAGATGGTGTGTTATAAGACTTGATCTGAGTCTACCTGATCCTCAAGGTCATGAGCATTTGACTACATCTTCTCTCCTACGAAGCTGTTCTACTTAGCGATTGCTGCATTACATACTATGCCAAACACAGTAGCTTAAAACAAATTATGATTTCTCATAATTTTGTGATCTGGGCTGACTTCATCTGGGCAGTTACTCTATTCCATAGTTCATCTGCTTGGTCTGGATTATCTGAGATGGCTTTTTCATTCACATGCCTGGTGCCTCTGCTGGGATGGGCTGGATGAGCTGGGTGCTGTAAGGCTTGATCTCTCCCGCTGAGCTCCCCAGTGGGATGGATGGACTTCTGCATATGATGGTCCAAGCCTTCAAGAACAAGCATCCCTTCCAAAATGATAAGACTTTGCTTGTGTCATCCTTGCCAATTTTCATTGGTCAAGGAGAGTCACATGGCTAGGCCCAGAGCCAGTGTGGAAGGAATCTACACAAGGTCATCAATATCAGAAGGCATAGGGTTGTTGGAGGCCACCCAGTGTAAAGATCACAGGGCCTACTTCGTTCCCTTCTGTGAATATAGAAACTATTTTGTGATAAGGCAAAGAGCAGAAACCTCTTTTTAAACTTCTCTCTTCTATGGAGGAAATGAGTATTCATCATTAGTCCCGTCAGAGATGCGATGTCCCATCACAGTTCTCATCAGTGGGACATCAGCAGAACGCCACGAGTGTGGCCACCCAGCTATCCTACCTCAGAGTCTGTGGACGGCTCTACAGCTAATGGCATTTGCAATTTCCATTACAACCTGCTCTCACAATATAAATTGTCCCAGATGTGCACTGTGGAGTCTGGAGTTTTATTTTTATTTGGTCTTACTTTTTTTTTTTTAAACATAGGCTGAACTTTAAGATGTTTGACTTGGGTTTTCCCCCCCTGAGCTTTTATTTGGAGAACTTCACGTGCCTGAAGCTGTGGTTGGACGCCGTATATTTCATTGTCTTTTTCAGACACCCAAGGCATATGTTTTACTTTTGGCATTTGGCTGGGAAGGAAAAAAAAAGGAGAGTATTTTAGAAGGGAGGCCATTTGTCACCTACCTAGTGGTCTCCCATAAGGCTGCGGTGTGCTATTCAACTAATAAATGTCTCATCTCTGCTTCCCAAGGACCTGGATAATCTGTCTCCTTCTGACCGGTTGTGGGCATTCTATTTCTTCTTTTGGAAAATACAACAGCTTTAAAATTGGTATCTTTTTCCTATAAAGCTTATGGACCTTGGGGCACCTGGGTGGCTCATTTGGTTAAACGTCTGACTTGTGATTTTGGCCCAGGTCATGATCTCTTGGGCTATGAGACTGAGCATCGAGTTGGGCTTTGAGCTCACTGGGGAGTCTGGTTTAGATTCTCTCCTTCTGTCCCTTCCCCTACTCCTCTCCCTCATGCTCTGTCTCTCAAATAAGTAAATATATCTTTAAAGCTCATGGACCTCATTTTATTTCTTTCCTTTTCCCTTTCTAATGTGAAATCAGCTCAGATATACTCAAGTTTCTAAACCTCAGGGTTAAGATTTGTCAAGATCAATATTCTTAACATCATATACATTTTTCTCGAGGGGGTGTGAGGGTATTTATTTTTACTTCATTTTCCCTCCAAGGGACATGGCACAGTTTTCTTAATTCAGCTCTGCTTCTTTCTACATGTGGATGCTGTTTTTAGCATTTTATTATCTCTACCCTTTCTCTCTTTTTAAAAAAGGATTTTATTTTTAAGTAGTCTCTACACCCAACATGGGGCTTGAACTCACAACCTTGAGATCTAGAGTTGTATGCTCTACCAACTAAGCCAGCCAGGCACCCCTTTCTCCTCTCATTTTAAATATCTGAGTTCTGCTCTTTGATCTTGCTTGGCACTTTTGGAGGAACTTATTCTATTGCTGTATCTACACCATTTTAGCTGTTTCTCTAACTCTGGTTGCATGGCTCATAAAGAAGAAATAATTTGAGAGTGTGGTATTCCTGGTGACTCTCAGTGGTAGTTTCGAAGTCAGATGATGGCTCCTTCCAGTAGATTTCCAGACTATTTGCAAACTGAGTCAAATTACTATCCTAGTCTAGAAAATAAAAATTGGGTATCACATTCCCTTTTTGGGGTGCTGAAGCTTGGAGATGCCATTAAAATACCTATAGGTTTTGGTATTTCTGGGTCTGTAGAATGAATTTCCCATGTTCACTGGGGATGGCCTAGGTTAACCCATAAACTATTGTTGACCACTGGATGGTAACTGGCTCCTGGCTCAGTGTGGTTGAGAACTGTTTGAAGGGCGACAGATCACATGATGCTGAGATAATTTAGGGCCTTTGCCACTTCACTTGAGCAAAGCCACTGATGGATGTTCCAGCGGCATGGAAGTGGGATATTGTCTCTCCTGGGGCTGAAAGGAATTTGAGATATTAAGTCTATTCTCATTTATTAAATGATGCTTTTCAGCTAAATGAGACTCTTTCCTGCCTAGGAGCAATTTCCATGGATGATTCCCAAGTTTGGTAGGGTTTAACCACCCCTTTTGGATGTCTAAGCCAAATTCTATCCATCAGAGTTGATGAAGCCTCCATCTTGGTCTCTCTTTTTTAGGGGTTATAGAAGGCCCTGGCCAGGCTCATTTTTATGGAAAAATTTGCATAGCCCTAGCAGTTTGTGTTCTCATTCCACGGTAGAGTTGCTGTTTTCCCAGCTCATAGAGATCTAGATGGGGCCATCAGACCAACCAACTAAGTTCTGGTCAGTAGAAGGTGGGCAAAACTGATGAAACCACTTCCAGAACTTACCCAGACTTTCCTGAGTGATTCTATATGTGCATTCTTTCCTTGGGGATGCCAGCTTATGTCTGCTCCCAGGGCCAAGGTATGAGGGCTACGGGTAGAAGATGGCGGAGCCTCTGTCCCTAAGCACACTGTGTTCTCATTCCTCTGTTTCCTGCCATTAGGCTTTATGCGAGAAAAAAATAACTCAATATTTTGTTAAGCCTCTGAGTATTTGTAGTGTACATGGTATGATAGGTATCCATGATTAGCTGAACTAATACTCAGGAGATTTCTTACCCTTTAGGGCTGTTGGCCAATACCTCCCCATTGGCCATCCCCCCATGAGGAAGAGTCAGGAGACAACAAGAAGGCACATTCAGCGAGGCCTTCCCTTGGTCTAAGCAGTTCTTTCCTTTACAAACTTGTTAAAGCTTGTGAGTGGAAATGATTGATACCCTTGAGTTTCATTTCTGCCTTCCTCTGAACCAGGGCCTGGCTCTTTCCAACCTGAGCCTAAGACAAAATTGCTTTTTGATGACTGTTTTCTGTTCTCTATGTAAGTGACAAGCATTTATTAATTCCTTGTTATCTATCTAGCCCTGGGCCAGGACTGAGAGAGACAGCAATGAATACAGTTTCTCTTTCCAAAGGTTTTATAAATTAAATAGAGAAGCAAAAGATCCATACAGAAACCAACCACAGGATGATGCGATGTCACACGTAAGCAGATTCTATAGGAATTCAGCAAAGGGGAAGATCCCTGTGGACCGGGCTTGGTTGGAGAAGCTACTAGTAGATATAAGGATGTTATTTGGTCCTGGAGGGAGCCTGAGTACCAGAATATGAGCAAGAATGGGTCCTGATGTGAAGTCTCATATGCCCTGCTTAGCATCACCTTCTTTGGGGAGCGGGGGAGTTAGGTTTGACCCAACAATGAGGATGGAGTTAACTGGAGAGGGTAGGAGGGGTTGGGGAAGTGACTGAAGTTGACACTGTGTCACACAGGTCTCCTCTGGGGGGGAGGACTTCTAGGATGGGGACAAAGAGCCTATGGGCTGGTTTTTCTTGTTCAGGGCCTGGGGGAGATATAACTTCTCTGGAGGCCCTGTTCATAGCACCCCACCCCCCCACAACCCATGGTGTGTTGAAGCCAACTTGTATTGGCTTAAGAGAGTCAACCAACAGATTTGCAGAAATTTTGCCAGCCAGGTGTTGAATACGTGTATTAATATTTAAATTAAACTAGATAGGTCTTTTTTTGGGGGGGGCAGATTTTATTTATTTGTCAGAGAGAGAAAGCGTGTACAAGCAGGGGGAGTGGAAGGTAGAGGAAGAGGGAGAAGCAGGCTCCCCACCGAGCAAGGAGCCCGATGCCAGACTCGACCCCAGGACCCTGGGATCATGACCTGAGCCGAAGGCAGAGGCTTTAACCCACTGAGCCACCCAGGTGCCCCATCTATTTCTATTTCTAACTCTAGAGGTTACTGAGAATTATTCTAGCTGTATGGTAGTCTTATGGATTGAATGGTGTCCTCCTCCCCACCCTGCAAACTCATATGCTGAAGTTAAAATCGCTAGTCTTGGAATGTGACCTTGTATGGAAATGGGGTCGTTGGAGATGTAATTACTTAAGACGAGGTCTTCAGGGCAGGACCCTCATCCAATATGCCTGGAGTCCTTATCAAAAGGGGAAATTTGGACACAGCCATGAATGCAGGGAGAATACTGCATGAACATAAAGACAGAGACTCGGCCGTGCTGCAGAAACCAAGGAACGCTGGGATTGCCAGCAAACCATCAGAAGTGAGGACAGGAGCAGGGCACAGAGTCTCCCGTACCTCGATCTGGACTTCAGCCTCTAGCACTTCAAGAAAGACATGTCCATTGTTAATACACCAGCGAGCTGTGTTTTGTGACGGCAGTCCCAGCAAAGAGGTGTGGAAGGGTGTGCTCCCATGTACCCTGTCCTCTAACTCAGTCTCTGACTTCCCACGGAGAGCTTGCCGTCAGCCACAGGGGCTTGATTTTCAAAGAAATACCACCAATCAGGGTTTGATTCATTGTTTCTTTTCTTTTTGAAGATTTTATTTATTTCTTTATTTGAGAGAGAGAGAGAGAGAGCGAGCATGAGAGTGGGGAGGGTCAGAGGGAGAAGCAGACTCCCCACTGAGCATGGGACCGGACGCGGGACTCGATCCTGAAACTCTGGGATTAAGACCTGAGCCAAAGGCAGACTCTTCACCTACCGAGTCCCTCAGGTGCCCTTGAGTCATTGTTTCATCCATGGTCTACACAAGGGGCTGGCTAGCTGCCTCCTGTGGGCCAGATCTGGGCCCCTGCCTGTTTTTGTGTGCATGTTACTGGAGCACAGCTGGGTCCATCTGTGTACAGGTTGCTGGTGGCTGCTTTCAGAGTCAGCAGTCCTGACAGAGATGGTACCGCTCACAGAGCTGACCATGTTGAATATCTGGCCCTTAAGAGCAGAAGCTTGTTGACCCTTGGCCTAGACTGGAGAGAGTGATGGAGGGGGCACCTGGCCGGCTCAGTCAGAGGAGCTGGTGATCTAGGGCTCTCAAGTTTGAGCCCACACTGGGGGCAAAGATCACTTAAAAAAAGAAAGTGTTGGAGATGATGTTAGAAATATAGATTTAGGTGTACCTGGGTGTGGCTATCACATTGTGATGGCACAAAAAAATTGAGAAAATATTCTAGTGCTTGAAATCTAGGATCTGATTCTGCAAAGAAGTGCCTCTTCTCCTGGGCCAACAAGTGAAGTTCTGACATGCATATTTGTCATTTTGTTTTCCTCTTTCTCACTTATGTAAATAAAAATATCAGCCCACACTCATGTCAAAACTACACTTGTTGTGTGCTTGTGTTTAAGATTTTATATATTACTTGACTTAGAGAGAGTGAGAGAGAGCGCGCGCACAAGTAGGGGGAGGGGCAGAGGGAGAAGCAGGCTCGCCGCTGAGCAGAGAGCCTGACTCATGGCTTGATCCATGAACCCTGGGATCATAACCTGAGTCAAAGGCAGACACACAACCAGCCAAGCCACCCAGGTGCCCCCAAACTACACTTGTTTGTCGGTTTGTCAGCTGCCACTCCACGTTTGTTAAGATATGAAAGTCACTGATCAGTGGAAGCATCCCTAAGAGCCAACTTGATGTCTTTGTATACCCATAAAGTTTGTAATAAACCTTGGTAGGTATACAACTGCACCCAGTTTCTCCTTCAGAGAGCCAACTGTTGTGCTCTGAGCTCTGTGTGACGCCCACAGCTGAGCAGAGGCCGCCCAGTTCATGGATCTGCTACAATGCCTTTGGCCTTGGCTCCGTTTCCCCACTGCGTCACTCTGGCTTGTCCTAGACGGGGCTGTTGGTGAGCGTTTGCACTAGAAAAGCTCGGTGGCCCCAAGAAGCCGGGCCTGGCTAAATTCTACTCTGCGTGAGTGCCAAGTGTTCATGGGTGAAGTGGGTTTGCTGGCAGGGAGTGTGAATCCGGGCTTGGATTCCCACCAGCCATACAAGTCCTTTGGCCAAGGGAGCCACAGGGTAAAAGGGCTGGTTTCAGAAGCTGGGTGTACAGGCTGGGAAGCCCAGCCAGCAGGCCGCTGCAGTCTGGACCTTAAAAACCCGCCTCAGGACCTTGGTGGCTCTGCGGAGTCATGTTTCCTGGCATTTGTAAGGAGGCCTTGCAAAATGTTAAGAAAAAGGATCCTTGCTTGATTGGGGAAGTCTCAGTGTACTCCCAGAGCTTGCAAAATAGACAAATAGAAAGGCATTCTGAAAAGCTTTACCAAGTGGCTCTTGTGCGGCTTTCTATCATTCCTCTCTTGCTTTCTGGACATTTAGCAGAAACGAAGAAATGGTTTTTCTGTAACCTTTTTCTGTAACCTTTTTTAGTAATGCACAGACATGTGTGGGGGCCTTACTTACTGGGCCTTTGCAGCGGTTGGGAAGGTGTTGGGCTCCACAGGAAACCTCCACAACCCTTTGGGTTTGCCTTTTGCAGAACGCTGCAATCCCTGCCCCGCCTCTGCCGGTCTGTGAGGGCAGGCACTGGGCCACTCTCCACAGTGCCGCAAAGACCCCAAAGCTGCCCATGACTTTCTGAACTTCTCACCCATTAGCAAGGCAGTGACTTCAACCAGCATCTTCTCAGATATTCCCCACCTGCCACCCCCCACCCCCGCCTCTCCCCACAGCTATATATCACTCACCTCTTCCTTCTGGGCCAGGTTTGATTTTAAGCAAGAAGGATTTAAGGAACTCTAAGTCCGAGTGGATATAAATTATGGAAAATGAGAAGAGGGAGGGCAAAAAAAATGTGTGTTTTCTGCGATCTGATGGGTGTGTGTTCCTGGAAATGCAGGTTTTCTTCTCCCTTGTTTTCCTCACTGAATGTTCTTGTGTGAAACGTTTGCATGCGAGCTGCTTTTTGACCCAGGGGCCAAATCCCCTTCCTTCTTCAAGACTCAGCTCAAATGCTACTTCCTCAACGTAGGTTTCAGTTGACCCACCAAGTAAAGTGTCACAGGGGTTTCTGGAAGCCGCATAGCCAGGTGAGGGGACAGCAGACATGGTTTCACCCATCAGCGCAGGTTGGAACATTTGGACACTTCCAGGCTCTCCCTCTGGGTGGAGGGCTGGGGACAAATGGGGAGTCCCTCGGGTTTGTAACTGGTTGTGACAATGACAGAGACACGAGGTGGCCACCCAAAATCGAGCCCACACAGCTAACTTGCCTGAGGTGCACCCTGTCTCCTTCACAGGGGCCTGGGGAATGAAGTCTCTCGCTGCCCCTCCCTCCCGCTCTGGGGTTAGTGGGGGCAGGTGCGTGGGTGGGGAGTTACCAAGCTGGCTTCCCCACCAACATCAGGTCACACCCTGCAGGAGGACAGAGACAGAGCTTTCGACTGGCCTGGTTCTTATTTATAATTTTTTTTTTTTTTTAAGTTTATCTTCCCCTTTTCAAGAAGCTGGCTGTGGTCCCAAGGGAGCCGCCCGGAAAAGTCTCCCTTCCGGTTCTGCATGTGCCCCTGCTCTGGGGGTCTTCACACTGGGAGGAGTGGTCGGTGTCCACGTGGACCGCACGTGCCCTCCCGGGAAGCTTTTTCCTTGTGTTGGCAGGCGGGACTCCGCTTGGGTCTCTGCTGGAAGAGAGCGCCCTTGGAGAAGTTCACTTCCTAGAGACATCCCCGAAGCACGTCTGTCTGTCTTCTGAACTTCTCCGACCACCTTCTGGTCTGGTCCTGTCCACACGTGTATTATGGCAAAGACTAGCATGACTTGTCCTCGAGCGCGGGATCTGCGCCTGACTTATCTTACCTCTTTTGCATTAATGGTGTTTGCAAATCTGTATTTAGCGGGAGACGGAGAAGTTAGTCTGCCTTTAAACCTCGTGGGTCTTATTAAGCCGGGCTCATTTAGATCTAAAACTGATGTTTTCGCGCCACCTTTGTTCCGTCCCAGCTACTACCGATGCTGAAATCTTTTTGAGCATAGGCGATGGGTAGAAACTCACCCTACCACGGAGATCTTAGGAAAAATATTACCAGGCCGTTTATAAAAGTCCCAAACCCAGCACTTTCCTATCTGGAAATGCAGGATTTTTCTCAAGTGCTAAGACTAGGAAAGCAAGCTGGAATGGCAAACACTTGTTTTAAAATTCTTCAAGCACGGTAATCGATATTTCTTATTTTTCTTGCTTTCGACACGATTCTCTGCAGAGCTTGGAAAGAGCTCTTTCTGATCCTGGCCGTGGGCTCAGGCCACTGCGGCTGACGGTGTGTTGAAAGAATCTGTTCCTTCTGTTCCTGCTCGTGAATAGCAGGGGGCTGTCGAGGGGTACAGAGATGTGTGTCTCCTTTAGCGAGCAGTTTAAAAAAAAATCAATGACTTTGGAGGGGAAAGTGTGGGGTGGGGAGAACAATATGTATTTTTCATGTCAGCATCTCTGCTCCCCGCCCCCCAGAGCAGCTCCCATTCAGGACCATCACGGGGAGCAGGGTTGAATTTGCTTTCACTGGTCAGGTCCCGCTCCAGCGAGACTGGAAATCAGGGGGCCGGGGGTACGGCAGTTTGAACTTAACCAGATCACCTTATGATGTGACCCACGAAGCAAACTGGGGAGTAGTGTCTGTACCCACCAGTGTCTATCCATGGCTGGGGACGCGAAGATCGTCCTGCTCTCTGTCAGCTGCAGACATACTCTATCAGGTAATGGCTTCTGTGTTGTTGTAGTCACTCCCAGAGCCCCTCGTGCAGGACAGTGGGCGGCCCTTCTGCAGGACAGGGTGATGTCTCTGGGTTGCCTATAAATCTCCCTCCTGCCAGACTTTGCTTCCCCAGGGCAGGGGTTGGGGGTTGTGGGGGAGGAGGCAGATTGAACTGATGGCTCCATTTGCTTACTTGTAGCCTCTCAAGAGCAGGTGCCTCTTCTCTAAGTGCCTTTCTCAGTGCCTCTCGGCCCTTGTTTTCAATAAATCTCTGGGTGCCGCTTCCTGGCCCCAGCGACTCTCTCCAGGGTCTCAGATCGTGGGGGTGAAGTTGGTGTGGGTACATGCGTGAGTGTGTGTTGCTTAGACTTTAGGTCTCCAAAACCACTAACTAATCTGCCTCCTCTCCTTCTCCTCCCCCTGAAAAGAAAAGAATTGTTTTCCCCCCGCTTCTCTGAAGTTGCTGGCTATTCTGGCCAAGCAGCCCGTTTTATTAAGTTTCGGTGCATCTCTGTCTTGTAAGAAATGCAGATATAGAGGTAACTTGCTGACATAGAGAGACCAGGTCCTTCCCGGGGCTCGGCGTCATCGTGGAGCTCACGGTGTCCACTGGAGGAATGCTGATTTCTTGTTCTCATGCTGGAGTTTTGTAATGACTCTCTTTTAGGGTCGGGATGTGGTTCCACGGTCGTATTACAGGGAGATCCCTCTTGGGGTTTCAGCCACACCAGACCCGTGCCTCCCACGAGCGTGCACGCTGTTTGGAGAGCGTACAGAGGAACTTCACCCCAGAAGCTTCTGGAGCAGTGAAGGAGAAAGTGATGTAAACTGGGGATTGTAATGTCATGTGAGAAGTTCGGGTGTGTGGCTATCTGTAACACGGATGTTTCCAGGCCCGTCAGCCTATGGATACAAATGAGGTCAGATTCACTGTCAGAACTCAGATTTCACTGGCCTGTGTCCCTTCTCTGGAATGCAGATCCAGCCAGTTATTTCTGTGAGCCCCTGGGGTCTTCCTCATGTTCTCTGGCTAGGCCGCTGTGATGTCCTTTGTCCCCAGGGCTGCTTCTGGACCTGGCCTTTCTGCTGTTGAAGGTTGCCTACCAACACCCCCAGGCTCCAGCTGACAAGTGCCGCGTTCCTCACAGACTTCCCTGAGCCAAGCCGCCCTGGGCTCTGGGCTCCCAGGACAGGCCGCTGCTCTCTATTTTGGGTTGCATTTTGTCACCTGGACATGAAGTAGCATGGCTTCTGCTTCTGTGTCTCCACCATCTTTTGAGAAAAGAACTTTGGCTACTGCTGTCTGCAGCCTCCCTTACTGCAGAAAGTGCTTATAAATCTATAGGGCCAGGGCCAGAGACTAAAATCCCCAACCCACAGAGTAAGCACCTCCTGGCTGACATTGCCTCCCTCTATGGCAATGGCAACAAGTCTCTTCCCTGGTTCCCTCCACGCATCACCTCTTTAAACCAATAGCTCCTGCTGTCCACCTCCCATATTTCTCAGACACACCCAGGCCCAAGGCCTCTTAAGTATGTTCTTTTCTTCCTGTCCTCACCATTTTATTTCGGGTCCTCATGACCTCACCTGGACTGCTGCCATCATTTCCCCATTGGCCGCACTGCCACTGGTCTCCCCTCCCCTCCATCCCGTCCCAGAGTTACTCCAATCGATGGGCATCCTTGGATGGGGTCCAGTCAGAGTCTGCCTTCTACAGAATTCTTCTTGCTAGTTAGAGCAAGGCTTCAGGATATCATGCAAAGCACACCGCTCGTTATTGACCTGTTAAATGTTTTTGCATATGTGTTTTTTTTTTTTTTTTTTTACCTTACCCATTTCCAACCAGAATTGGACACGGTTCCTCATTCTAGACTGTCCCAACTCATCAGAACCAAGGGCAAAAGGCCATTTGGAATCAACATCTTTATTTGTTCCCCACTGGATGTCCATGAAATTTGAGAGGATGACAACTCTTATGGAGAAATTGATCCTTACCCAATTTCAGAAAGAAAGAGTGGATTTAGGCCAACTGTAACTTGATTCACCATGGGCTTTAAGGTCGTGTCTGACATGGATTTATTTTCTGGGAGGTGCTGTCCTGTCCTGGTGCATCATGGAAACCACTAGCAAACAGCAGTGAGGTACAAGAACTCTGGGTATTTTTTTTTTTTTAAAGATTTTATTTATTCATTTGAGAGAGAAAGAGAGAGAGAGTGCCCAAGCAGGGGGAGAAAGATTTTATTTATTCATTTGAGAGAGAAAGAGAGAGAGAGTGCCCAAGCAGGGGGAGAAAGAGAAGAGACTCCCCTGCTGAGCAAGGAACCAGATGCAGGGCCCAATCCGAGGACCCTGAGATCATGACCTGAGCCAAAGGCAGAGGTTTAACCCACTGAGCCACCCAGGCGCCCCAAGAACTCAGGGTATTACTTAGGCAGCTTTGGGTGAGTCAGACTGTGATATAAGAAATCAGGAAATGGATGAAAGAGATGACTTTTCAGCCTTGACCAATGCAAAAAACTACAACATTAAAAAAACATTAAAAAAAAATGTTTAGGCCAGAAAAAACCACAAAGAGCTGCTTATGCAAAATTATCACTTAAGAAAATTTTATTATGATGAATACAAGTTAGATTTTTCTCATTTTCATTTGGAAATGAAGCCTGAACCTCAGGAAGCTCTTTTCTTCGTGTATGTTCCACCAGCTCTGGGGACTCAGATGTGAGGGCCAGGGTCTGGGGGATAGCAGACATCCAGGTCTAGAGGGAATTTTGCCTGTAGGGCTGGAAAATATTTCTCCCGAACCCATCACCCCCAGACCAAGAGGACTTGGATGTAGGGGAAGAAAATGTGTTCTTTGACTCTCTTAGGGACCCTGGCTAGGTCTGAAAATTAAATCTTCAAGGAGAAGCTAGTAGGAGAAAGGCATACGAATTTATTTAATATGGCTTTATGTGATACAGAAGCTTTCCTAAGGAAATGCAGACTCGTAGAGATGGTTAAACCTGAGTGTTTTTATGCTGGGTGTGATGAAGAGGACCAGTTGTGGGGAAGTGTGATCAGAAAAGGGTGTGAGGTAAGTGTAGCGAAGTGGGGGAAACT